ACTACTCTCTCTCTCTCTCTCTCTATATATATATATATATATATATATATCTCAAATTCGTCTAATTTGGGGGTTTCTGAGATGAATTAATGGCGGGACTCTCTTTTTACAGTTGCATGAACTTTTTCCTGAGGTTTTGGGTAATTGGATATTTGGGTTAATCGTGCAGCTATTTGGATTAAACCAGGTAGGAAAGTCTATTTATTTTTTATTTATTTGGATTTTTTTAGTTCTTCTGTTATCTTCTTTAACTGTTATTTGAATGTGTTTAGCCTTCTCATGCTGTGTATTCACTAGGAATGGGTAAATCAATTGAATCACTCTACTGCAGTACCACTCTCTTTTTAAGTACAACAATGTTTTTCTTGGATAATTTTGGTTCAGTCGTTAATACACATTATACAATTAGTTGTCATATACATACTGTGAACTGCCCTGATTATCCTAATTATAATGAGCAAATTTTCTCAATTGATGTTTTCTCTCTCCTTTGATACTACTGTTGTGCTATATTCTTTTTTGAAATTATTATGTTCTTAATTGGATCAACATTTTTTATAACGGATGTGTATTTCGAACTATGGTGTTTTTTTGTTTTGACACAGGTCATAGGCACTATAGTATTTTGGCTGTTTTTGAACAATTTGCTTCTTTTTTTTTTTTCAGCAAATCATGTATGTTCAAGGTGAAAATCAAGACATTGAAACAATAGAGATGCCATTGTCACCCCATAGTACCTCTGACCCTAAACGTAAAACAACTTCTTCAGTTTGGGAAGGTGATATTCTAAAAGCTGATTGTAAACATTGTTTTAAGGAGTTAGTTGAGGCTAGTAAACATGGGACTAGCCATATGAAAGAACATAAAAAAACATGTCTTGAGAGAGTGTGCCTAGATGCAGGTAAGCAATTGTTTTTTGAAGAAAGGTTAAATTTGTGTTGAATATTGGAAAATTACATAAGTAGAGCAAAAGAAGACCGCGACCTACAAGTTAGGTGCTCAGAGAGCATACTAGAGGGAAGAAGTAGAAGAAAAGAAAAAATAATCGAGGGAGAAAATGAGGACAATTTAAATAGAACAAAAAGCAATAAAACGATAAAACACTGTTGGTAGACTGTCGGATATCCTCAGCGGGGTTTTGGTCGATGAGAAAGCAGATAACCACTGTGGATCTGTTGCACTTTCTGCTACGAGCACTGGTACTTCAGTAGGCAGGCTGACTTTGTTAGCGGCCAGAGTAGCACTGTGGGCTGGTTGCATGCTGGTACCTCAAGAGACGAGGTAAGTTTGGAAGTAGCTAGCTCCGCTGAGGGGTCAAGCCTTGTATGGCCGCCAACAGTGGGTCAGCAGAGGTATAAGTGACCCTCCGGCGAGGGCTTTCTATTACAACCCCAACTTCAGAAGATAAAAACTTGGGCAGGACTATATTCTATAGGCACTGCTACTACTAGAGGTTGGCTGATTATGGAAAAGACTGTAGTGGCCTTCCCTGAGGAGAGAAAGCTTCCGTGAAGGAATTGGCAGCCAAGGAATAGTTGCTGCTAAGCAGAGGGTCTTCAGTGGAGAGGCGAGAGGGTCTTCAAGAAATTAAGGCTTGGGCAGTTTTGTCTTCGATGGGTACTGCATCTTCAAAAGGTTAGCTCCAAAGGCTTGCTGCTCTTTGGTGGGTGGACCAAAGGGGAAGTTGTAAAGATGATGGGATTGAAGATTTCTATTGGTAAATCTTGTACTCTCTCTCTCTCTATATATATATATATATCTTTTTTTTTTTTTGTCGGGGCAGGTATGGGATAGAAGTTATGAGAGTATGAGTGGAGGAAGTATAGAGATAGAGAGGGTGGGGGAAGCTTATAAAGGCTAGAAGAAAGAGAAACTGGGACAAAGTTTAGGTTGAGGGGAATAGGGGAGAAAATATATGATTGTATATTAGGATAGGCATGATGGGGGGATTAGAGAGAAAGAGAATGTGAATCTTGAAACGAAAGAGAGAGGAAATGGGGGGATGGTAGAGGAAAGAGAGTGTGATTGTTAGCAATTGTTAGCACACCTTCTTTTAAAAGAGGTGAAGGGGGTTTGAGCAATTATAAATTTGATTAAGAGCGAAGTAGAAGTAATCTAGCGAAAATGATGTCTTACTTGAGTATCCGTTTTCAATTGTGAAGCATATTGCTTGTAGGACTTTTGTAAGAAATCTACAACCATTATTTAAAACGGTTAGTCGTAATACTATAAAGTCTGATATCTTGGAAATATACAAAAAGAATAAGAAATTGCATGAGGTTTTAGAGAAGGTCCCTAGTCGCATTGGCCTCACCACAAACATATGGTAATAATGTCGTACAGTGTTTCAAAAAGCGCTAGGCGGCACCTAAGCGGTCCGGGGGGGGTCTAGGCCGCCCAGTGCCTAGGCAGGTGCCCAGAACCTGCGCGGCCCAGTAATTTTTTTTTTTTTGGGTCTTTCTCTCTAAAAAATAGCCTCTAATGGGTTTTAGGTTCACTTGAAACCTAAAACCCACAATTTTGCACCTTTAGGATTAAAAAAAAAAACCCAAAAATGGCCTTAATGAGCGGCATTTCCGCCCTTGGGCAGAGCGCAGGCCCTGGTTGGTGGCCACCTAGGTGGGTTCCCGGGCGCCTGAAGATACCCGCATAGGCCTGGGCGATGCGCCCAGGCCATCGCCCAGGCCTTTTGGATCTCCTAGGCGGCCACTCAGGCGCTGGACGATCCACTTTTTGAAACACTGATGTCGTAACCAAGGCCATCTATACTTGACTGGCCATTATATTGATAATGCATGACTTTTGCAAAGAATAGTCTTTAGTTTTGTTTTTGTGTCATCTCCTCCTACTAGAGATGCTATTGCTATTGTTGTTACGGATTTATTAATGCAATGAAATACTGAAAAAACGTTGTTTAGTGTAACTTTAGACAATGCATCATATCTATTTATTCAATTATCTTGAAAGACCGTACTTGTATTTGGTGGTAAGATGTCCCATGTGCGGTGTTGTGCCCATATTCTAAATCTTATTGTGCAATGTGGAATAGGGGTGGGTAATACACGAGATAGTTGATGAGATCAAAGATACTCTCAAGTTCATTTAGGAATCCCAAGGAAGGCAAGAAAGATTTAATGAGGGACTCAACTTCTTTGGGATTGAAAGCAAAAAAAATATCTTTCCAGTTTGGATGTACCCAAAATTGCAATATTTTTAGATTGCAATTCAAAAATCTTGTGAAACATATTTGAACCGTTTAGACAACCTCAAGATTTTGTTAGATTTTTAGATTGAAATAAAAAATACTGCAGTGTCAAGGTAAAAGTTACCGTAAAAAAAAATTCAATTCAGACTTGAATTTTGTTAGAATTTTTTTTGATGAAAGTGCAGCTCTTGGTCTCAGGGTCCTCTCGTTTTTGAATCTCTCGTAATTCCATTTCAGTAATACAAAGGTTAATACTTATCAAAAAAAGTAAGTGCAGCTGTCTCACCCTCGTGCAAACCTCAACTCATGACCCAAAAACTCCGTGAAACCTTAGAAACCCCAAATCTACTCTCTCACTGAATAAACCTAGCATTTTATTTTTTCTCTTTAAAAAAACCAGAGAAGCTCAAGCCCCATCCATGGCAGCCTTAGCGGTGTCTTTGTAAAGCCAAGATCCTTTCTCTCTCTACAAAAGGCGAGTCTTTTCTCTCATACCACACCCATGGGAAGCTCCTTCTCTTCATGAATAAGGAGAAGCTCGGGTTGCAAAAAGTCAGAGAAGCTCAAGCCCCATCTATGGCAGCCCTAGGCGGCGTCTTTGTAAGGCCAAGGCCCTTTCTCTCTCTACAAAAGGTGAGCCTTTTCTCTCATACCGCACCCATGGGCTTGGGCTGTAAAAAAAACC